ATAGCATCAAAAAAATAATATATTTTCCGAGCTCGCTCTGTTTTTTTATGTAATGCATCATCACTTATCTCTTTTGGAAGCATCTTTTTTAAGCTGATATACTCAGAATGATAATCATCTAGCTTTTTCACTAGCACCCCAATTTCTCCAAAAAGCATATTATACACCTTCGAATTTTGCTCATATAACTCAAATATCTGGGCTATTTTCTCTGTACGTCTGATAGCTTTTTGCTCAGTAAGTGTATTATCGGATGAATGCTTTTGATCAGTTGTCATTTTCATGATATTTTATATATAATTTATCTTACCTCGAATAAAAAAAAATAAAATTTAACAAACAACATCTAACCTACCCTCCCGAGAAAATTAATTTTGAGGAGGTATTAGTTTTCATCAGAGAGCTTGAATACCTTTGCTTGATCATAAAGTTGTCCTCTCTGGCGGAAATTCACTATAGTATAGTTTTGTGCTGGGGAGGCATGGTTGTCTGGCAAATGTCGAAGAGCTTGACTGGCAATGGTCATAGCCTCTGATAAATTCTTCGTACCATTCGATACAACTGCAAATACTGCTCTTAATTTGCACAAAGAGCTAGGAAGTAGTGGTTTACGACTTTCTGTTTCAGAAATAAATTCGTCTTTTTTAGAAATGCATTTAAGTATATAGATCCAAGCTTTCCGGGGTCTCTTAACTGTTCGGAAGAAATTGCTTCCTGAATCCAAGTAAGAAGTTGCTTAGCCCGCTCCTTATTCTTTTCTAGTGATCTAAACACTCGAGGAATATCTTGTTGACCTTGGTTTTTTGCATATCCTGTTACAGCCTCATTAGATATATGCAAGTTTTTAATTTTAGCAGGACGAATGCAGAGCATTATCATTACATTGGCTAGGGCTTGTTTATCGGGTATATTAGATACATCATATAAATTCAGTCTCTCTTTAACTGATTCTAATGTGAAGTGGTCTGGAAAATCAATTCCTTCATTTTCACGTTGCTCGCTACGCTCCTTTTGGACTTTATTAGATAATCTAGTTACCTCCAGATTTAATGTAGCAGAAATTATTTTTTCTGAAGTATTGAGGGTCTGCAATTCTTTTCGAAACCTAGAGAGATGAGATAAAGCAACGACAGCATCAGGTGATGTTTCCTCTAAGATTCTAGATATTGCTTTTACTTCTCTTTCGCTAAGTTTACCTCGTATAATACACTGAGCCATTTCTTTAATAGTCTCCTCGGAACCAGTACTATCTAATACTTGACATATATTTACTTCTTCAGCTTTCAACCCTGGTCCCTCTGGGACCAGTGTTTGACTTTTGTATCGCCTGATTCTCTGGAGAGGAATCAAAGCAAATGCCTGCTCTTTGCTAAAGCCATACCCTTTTATAAGACGATTACGAGCCTAGCATCTTTTTTCTTTATTATCTGTTAAGAGCTTAAGTATTTCTGGCGCATATTGGCTAAGCTCTTCGAGACTAATCTTATTGATGAGTTTGTGGTCTCTGCCAAACTTGGTTGTGATAGCAGATATGATAAGGTATGTAGAATATATGTAGTAGTTAGACTAATCTATAGTATTCAGATTATATATTGTGAAAAAAAAAAAGTTCAATTCGAAAAATTTTCTCAAAGCTATACTTCTTCAGAAAAAAAGCGAAAAATAATGATATAACTTATGCTCTGGCCAGAAGTTTTACAATAATTTAAAATTTACAGGTAAATATGCAAAAAAAGATACATAGTCACAGAACTCCCATTCCAAAACTATGAATAAATCTTTCTCGAAAGAATATTATAATTATATTTTAGTCAAGTAACCGTGTTAGAGCTAATATATGCTCCAGCCCTAAAACATCTGTTTTTGTGAATACGTCATATAAAGCACCTGGTCTATACTTCGAAGAGGTTAAATTTGGCCGAAGGAGAAATTTCATGAGTACGCCATTCCTCCAAGCTTTCGTTTCTTTATGTCTCCAGCATAATTTTAATAATATGATCAAATTTTCATTAAAACGGTCAACTGGACCAGATTCTGAAGTGAGGATCATTTATTTTTTCTTAAGTAAATAGACTCATTCCACCCTTAACGGTGGATCTCACACTAATAGGGAACCTTTTGCAAATACCTGGTCTAGCTAGGATAGATAAGGGCAGAATTAAGGCTAGATGGGAAAAGATGAATATATTACTCCAAATATCCTCTAAATAATCTGAAAGTTTATCAGTGTATATGAACCTTTCACGAATCAACTTCTGGAATAGTTTTCCATTTGAGTTGATCTATCGGCCAGTTACTGTATTGAGTACCATTTTTTGCATTATGTCTATAATGTTTGTATGAAAAGATATTTTATTTCATCACAATATCGATTAATTTAAATACATATTTTATTATAAAATTAAAAGAAGAGAGTTTTATATCCTAAAATACTTTTGCTTTAGCACCTTTGGCTATGGCTTACCTTATTTGAACACATATCAAGAGAGATGGTACCATCTGTGGAAATAATTCCTGGCACTCTACAGGGTGTTATAGGTACTGGAAATTATATGAAAAGAATATAGAAAAAAAACCTTGTATTGCTTGTAGATTCTCTACTGCTTTTACTATAGGTTGTTGCCCCAAATATTCTGCTAAATTTTATGTACTAAATTATCAAATGAGGCAAAAGTACAGGGCCAAGATCTCAGAAAACTTCTGAATTAACTGCTGGGGAGTGAGTAAAAAAATATATTTCAAATATGTAGGCTTCTGCGGAATTATTATATAAAATATTGGCAGAAGACTATCCTAGTCAAGGCTGGGCTATGTGATCAAAAGACTAGATCTACCTTGTGACCAGATCGAATATAGATGTAAACAATATGTATCAAAATATGAAGTCTTCTGCTGATATTTCTAGAGAAATATATATATATATAATATATATATCGGCAGAAGGCTTCATCTTAAAAGTATGTACCTAGTCAGAATATGATATATTACATTAATATTTCATCAGGCAAAAGCTCACTATAGCTATACCGAGTATCTTTTCTATTCATCCAGTAAATTTCTGACCCTGTTTGATATGAAGATAATACAGGAGCGCCTTCACTATTAAAAGACCCAACTAGATGGTAATGTCTACGATTCTTATCTATAGTCTTAAATTTTAACTCATATGTTATATACAGTGCTGAATTCAGTAAGCCAAGTTTCGTCTGAACTGTTTTTAATCCCGATTTTTTAGCTCTGCGCGATGCATCTGTATTATCAAATACTCGAGCTATTTTAGGCACTAAACCCTAGAAATATGATGTTGATTCAGGAGAACCTATACGCATTTTGACTTCATCAGCTTTATATCATGCTCTATCATTGATATCTCTAGCTGGTGTGCAAATTCTTAATAATTCTAGACAAATTCGATGCCTCTCAGCTCGGGTTGCAGTTGTGAGCCTATCTTTTCTGTAATCTTTACTAGATATAGCCTCAACAGCTGTTTCATTGTTAGTACTAGCATCTCATAATTGCTTATAAGTTCTAAACTATTTCATATGATTATAATTCCTATACTTTAAGATAAAATTCTCGATCAATGATTCTGGCGAGATCTTATAACAATCCACAATATGATGCCGGTCTAAAGAGCACATCTCTTCTAAAGTCTTCTTTGGTTTATTCTCCAATAATTCAGCAGTCTCACAATCAACAATAGTAGCATTAGATACATCTGCTATCTCCTCTGCTTTAATGGTAGAGAAACATACCTTTACTGTTTGGGATAATGACATCATAGTATCTTCAGGTTTAGAAATAGGTTCTATGACAGAAATTATCATACCCGCATTTTGGAGAAAATCAACTATTCTCTAGCCAAATAAGTGCCAGGAACAGAATCTTTCTAACATATAGGCCACCCATAAATGAACAGTTGGTTTGTCTTTATTTCGGATAATAGAGTCAATATCCAGAAATATTTTTCTATTCTGAAGTTCCCAGGGAAGACATTCACGTTTGGCATTTAATAACCACTGAAATAGCCCCTTTTCTAAAATGGAACCGTTAGATGATCTTTGCTTAATATAGCATATATAATCCTTAATATATCACATATGGAATAACATCTGATTCGTTCTGGCATTTGTTTCTATATAGCTATTGAAAAGACAAAATGCTTATTCAAACTTAGGATTAGTATATAAAACACCTATTTTTAGAGTACTAGTATAGGCAATTAAGTCTACGTCTTTTCATAATTCTTCTACATTGCTAAAATCATGTGCTTTTTCCATGGGATCAGATTTACCATGATATTTCTTGATTCGCAATTTTGGAAAATCGGTCCTAAGAGCACAGATGATCCCTTGCATATCTTTTCTAAGATAGCAAATGAGTGATGCACTTGTTTGATCCTCAAAAGATAGTAAAGATACTTCCTTAGCCCAATTCTATAGTTCGGCTAACACAGTTTTTTTATTAGGAGCTAAGCAGAATGTTTTTCCTTTCTGTAGTTGATAAGTGTTATGAATAATTGAGAAGGGTATATCTTTGCGAAAGGCTTTAATCCATTTAATGTTGAGGTCGATTAGATCATTATCCATGATGATAATACACCTTGCCTCTTGAACTAATTTATATAATTTTTCTATTGATTGACCTGCCAGATGACTTTGTGCTTGAGCGATTATAGATATTATTTCATCAAGCCATAAGTCGTATTGGATTAGAGGGCATTTATATTTTTTACCTCATTTACAATTATTAGTAATACGATGTAAACTCTCTATCTGACACACCACCCTCTTGTGATCAGGTAGATTTATATTACCATCGATATCACAATATAACTTAAGATTAAGTCTTGTAGTAACAGCATTTGAGTAAGAGTGGCATATGGATAATACTAGCAAATTTACATTTTCAGGAATAATGAAATTTTCAAGAGCATATATTTTTCTAGTTTCCCAAGGTGACCCCACATAAATATCACCTTCATTGGGTAATAGTTTTACATATCTCTCCTTATATATTTCTGTAGCCGTAAGGGTCTTACTATATTTGACCCAATATGGCATTTTTACAAAAGCTTTTGAGAAGCCGAGTATTTTACCCTATGAGAAGGTAGTGGTAAATTTTTATTTTTTTGCAAATTTTTTTCCACAATAGATGGGTCGCATTCAAATACTTCACCAGGTTTATCAATACCTTGCCAGAAGCATTTTATAATGAATTTCCCATTGCTAGCACATATAGGACCGAACTACCACTGATCCTTGTCATGTATACGTTT